GGCATGACAGATGTCCTGAACTGGCCATAGGAGTATTCCATACCCCAGAATAATGCTCTGCAATAAAAGCTGCAGTACTGGGAGCAGAAAGAGGAGGTGGGGGCTGCTCAGATTGTCTGGGGATCTGTCAGCTTCTGAGAGCCGGCGATGGATTCCCAGTTTGTTGCTTGTTTCCCACCACCACCTTTCCTTCACCAATTCCATTGTCCATCTTGATTCACAAGGCTTTTCCAATTTCCAATATAGATAGCTGAATAGGAAAAAGGTGAGCTGGAATGATGGCTATTTTGTAAGGCTAAATTTTGTGGTTTTCAAACTGCAAATTATCTTCTGGAAGTGACTTTGGTGAGCCTGTAATCAGTTAAAAGGCACTTTCCACCTCAGTTGCTCTGGTTGCCTGCTCCAAATTTTGTTCTACCTCTTGCACTAATGCCAGCACAAGCTTTTGCAGGGCTGTGCAGTGACCTGGATCATGAAAAAAAGAAGGCCTAAAAAAATGTTAGCTTTACAAGTTTATCCTCCCCTCCCTGACTGCACTATTACTATTTCTCTCCCTCTCTCAATTTTCAGGCAGACATTTCAAAAGGGGAGTAACTAACTTGGAGTCACTTAGGATTTTTTACTGTGACTTTCCCTATATCCTAACTACTGTCCCTGTGACCTAGTCTATACCTTAGAAAAAATAAATATACTGTAGTGAAAATGGCTCTTCTATGACCAGTTTAAACAAAGCATAACCTCAGGACACTCCCTGTTTTCAAAAACAGTTCTTGTTGTGTTATCTCAGAACTGTTTTAATGCCAACAGGAAGACATACTATTTCCAAGCAGTTTACATGCAACTGAATCTGTTGTGGTTTTTTATGAATCAATAAAGCTTTTTTCACCTGGAATGGTCTTAACTTAATCAGATTACTTTTAATCACAGTATATGCAAATGGTTACTTTTTTACATGGAATATGTGTATGCAAATGGTTACTTTTTAACTTTTTTAAGTCTTGCAATGAGCTACTACTACTTTACTACTTTAACAAAAACTAGTTTACTGGAGTTTTAATTACAAGACCATGTGTTAGCTCTTTGCTCATATTTATCTCTTCCATGCTCTTGAATGATATCCATATCCCAACATCAGAAAAAACTTCATCCTAAATAGAACTGTCGGGTTCACCGACACATTTAATAAGTGCATTCATACAATATTTAAATGTTCTATGGCAGAGAGCAAGCTTCTCAGTGGAAAACAGGTGGTGAGCAGGTACTCTGTGCTGCTGCACTGCTAAGGAGCCACATAATACTCACAGTGAAGAATGATGTGCCACAGAAACGGGCACACATGCCTCGAACAAAGCCTTCATGGGCTTGTATCGTGCGGATGCACTGTCGTTTGGTCAAGTTCCAAATCTTAACCTGATAAAAACAAAAAGCAAATATTCTGTAAGCTTTCCACAGCTGCAGCTCAGTATTCAAGTAGAAGAGACCACACATGTTGTAATGAAATGGCAGAGTTGGCTTGGACACCGGTCAGATTTTATCATGTTAAAAAAGAATTATTTCTTTCTTGAAAAATAATTTTAGAAGTGAGGCTCTTTTGTTCCTACACTCCCCCCTGACCTAAGCTGTATACTTTCTGCATTTTGCACTCCCATGTTTTTGAACTAGAATTCTTGCTAAAAAACAGCAGCAGTTATAAAATTAGCAAAAAAATACCCTTTTAAAGACAAAAACACAAAGAAATTTGGAATCAACAGAATTTTTTCTGTCCAGTTGCTGTACTACATTGTCTATAGATGTCCACCTCTCACAGAGGTTTCTGTTTAAAAGCTTTTGGGCTCATTTAAAAACCAACAACAAAGAAATGGAGTTCACTTTTTATATTTTTATGTATTTACAGTACCCTGTACTTCACTTGCTCTATCAGTGAATAAGAAATTTGGGTAAGAACTTTCATAGAAATTTGTTCCACTTTCTCTGAAAAGGTTAACCTCCCTTATACTACTGCATGACATGAGCACTTTCTATAAAAAGCAGAAAGCAGCCAACTGCCTAGAAGACCTTTAAACTGCCCTTGATTACCTTTAAAGTATTCAAGTACCATCAAATGAGCAACGTAAGGGTGAGAAAAGACAGGTAATTCAGAAAAGACAGGTAGTTTTTTCGGCCACTAGTTCCACTAGTCCTTGATTGCTATTTATAATAGTTATGTAAAACAATAAAATATATATATATACATAGGGTTAGCCTTTTTTAGGCAATAGGAAACCCTGCTATTCCAAAAAATTTTTGGCTGTATGCCCTTTCACCTTAGCTAATCTGGCAGTTTAACTTCTTTAGGGAAAGCCACATAATACTCACAGTGGCTCTTTAGGGAAAATCCCAACGTGTATTGGGTTTGCACAGCCAGGTTTTGGTAGTGGGAGTCTACAGGGGTGGCTTCTCTGAGAAGCTGCTGGAATCTTCCTCCACATCCAAGAGAGCCAATGCCAGCCAGCTCCCACACAGACCCACCCCTGGCCAAGGCCAAGCTAATAAGAAATGGTGGTAACAACTCTATGATAACACATTTAAAAAGGAATAAAAGTAACTGCACTCAGAGAAGAGAGGGGCAAGAATACATGAGAGGAATAAGAGCAGACACCAAGGTGAAGGAAGAAGGAGGAGGAAGAATGAGGTTCCTCTGAGCCTCTTGTGAAGACCATGGTGAGGCAGCAGGGCCCCTGGTGCCCATGGAGGAGGTTAATGGGAGTGCAGAGATCCACCTGCAACTGTGGAGAAGACCGAGACCAGATGCACCCAAAGCAGGCTGTGATCCATGGCAAGCCCTTGCTGGAGCAGTCTCCTGGCAGGGACCTCAGAACCCATGGAGAGAGGAGCCTACACTGGAGCAGGTTTCCCAGGACTTGTGACCCTGTGGGGGCCCATCCTGGAGCAGCCTCCTCTTGAAGGACTACACAACGTGGAACAGCCACCAACAGCAGCAATTCATGAAAAGCTGCAGTCTGTGGAAAGGACTCACACTGCAGAAGGACATGGAGAACTGCCTCCCATGGGAGGGACCATGGTGGAGCAGCAGAGCATCTCCTCTCCCTGAGTAGAGGCAGGAACAACTTGTAATGAACTGACTGTAACCCCCTTTCCTTGTGCTGATAGGGAGAAGGGAGAGCCTGGGGAAGGAGGGAGGGGTGGGGGGAAGGTAATTTTAAGGTCTTATTTTACTTCTCATTATTTTGTTCTGAGTTTGTTAATATTAAATTCAATTATTAACCCCATGTTCAGTCTGTTTTGTCCTCGGTGGTAATAGGTGGGTGATCCCTCCCTGTCCTTATCTTGGCCCATGAACCTTTCACTACAGTCTGTCTCCCAAGTTTGTCTCCCATGTACAGTGGCAGAGTTATAGAGCAGCAAAACTGCGTGAGGTTGGAGGTAACATGTTGAACAGAGGCAGAAAAGTAAGGTGTGACCAAACCAACCAAACAACCCAACAAAACACAAAAGAGAAAAAAAACGTGTGTTTGTTGTGGTTTGCAAGCTTACCTCCCCATCACAGGCTCCAGACAGCACAGTAGACAAACTTTTTGGATGTTTGGCCATGCAATTAACTCCATCTCTGTGGCCATCAAGTGAACTAAGAAAGGGTTTTGCAAACACACGTTCTAGCTTTGTGGCATTCAGAGCTCTTACGTACTCTCGTGCAACCTCAAATGGATGCAATGCAGGGTCATAGTTCCTTGGAACTGCAACAGAAAGAACACACATTAGAAACCCACGCTGGAGCAGGTCCAGAGGAGAGATGAGCAGAGGGATGAACTACCTCTCCCATGAGGAAAGGCTGAAAGAGCTGGGGTTGTTCAGCCTGGAGAAGAGAGAGCTCAGAGCAGACCCCACTGTGGCCTTTCAGTATTTAAAGGGGGCTGTGAGAAAGATGGGGACAGACTTTTTAGATGGTCTATTATGATATGACGATGAGTAACAGTTTTAAACTTAAAGAGGGTAAATTTAGACTAGATTAGAGGGTAAATTTAGACTAGTAAGAAGTGTTTTACAATGAGATGGCACATGCCCCATCAATGTTCTGAGCAGCCTGATCTAGCTGAACATGTCCCTGTTCGCCACAGGGCAGGGTGTGGGGGGTTGGACTGGATAACCTTTAGAGCTCCCTTCCAACCGACAAAACTCTATTATTCTATGAGTAAAATCAACACAATTTTTGGCAGTTTAAATAATGATTGTACAAGAAGCAGAACTCCATATACCAGGAATGGAACAGCATTAAGTGCAAAAAACTGAAAAGAGTAATCTAGGAAATACTAAGCGCAATCTCGGGGTACCAAATCAGTGATTAAACCGCCAGCCCCCACTCCTGCTCTGACGCCGCTTCCAGACCAGGCTCTGGAAGCTCCAGGCTCTGCCACCCCGATGGGAGCTCCCGGCAGCCGCCGCCCGGGCCACAACAAGGCAAGTTCAGCCCCGCAGAGGCCCCGCACGCGAATGCCCGCCTGGGAGCGGCACCCGCGGGGAGAGCTCCCGGTGCCCGCAAGGAGGGAAGCCCAAAGCCCCTGCCCGAGCTCTCCGACTCTCGCTGCTAGTGGTCAGCGGCGGAGGGGAAGGGACCGGAGCGGAGCGCGGACGACGGGCGCTCGAACGCCTTCCCGGGCCGCCGGCCTCATCCCTTCCGGGCGGGCCGGGCCGGGCCGTGCCGGGCCGTGCCGTGCCGGGCCGTGCCGTGCCGGGCCGTGCCGTGCCGTGCCGTGCCGTGCCGGGCCGAGCCGGGCCGGGGGCCAAGGGCCGGTGCCGGAGCCGCACTCACCGCGCTGCAGGTCCAGCTTGGTCTCCCTCACGTAGTCATCGGGGTTGCGGCTCAGCACCTTCACCCGCATCGCGCCGCGCCGGCACCGCGTGCCCACGTGACCGGATGCGCCGCGCGGGCCGTTCTCGCGCGAGGCCACGAGCCTCGCCGCGGCCCCGGCCCCGCCCCCGCTCCTGCGCGCGCGCGGCCGGCGATGGGCGCCGCGGGCCCCGCGTGCGCGGCGCGCGAGCCGCTGTCACGCGAGCCGGTGCTGCGCTCCGTGCTGCGGCACGTGCGGCTGGAGAACCTGGCGGCGGGAATGAGCGGCGGCGTCCTGTCCACCCTGGCGCTGCACCCGCTGGACCTCGTCAAGATCCGCTTCGCAGGTGAGGCCGGAGCGGCCGCCCGCCGCCGTCCCGCGCTAAGCACGCACCGGCGTGCCCGGGCCCGCCGAGCCGGCCCGGGACCTGCCGGGCTTCTCGCCCACAGCCCGCGCTTGTCTGCCCGCCCCGTGCGCGGCTGCAGCGCCCCGGTGCCGGGGGCAGCCCCACGGCTTGGAATAAACTGGCCGTGAGCCGGGAGGGTCTCCCGTTCTCTTCCCTGCTATCCCAAGGCGCTCCTTGTCCCGTGTAGGGGCTGCAGCGTGTGCGGTGGCCCCGAGCTGGTTGCGGGCAGGTCGGGGAGCTGCCAGCCTCTCCCCCCTGCCGTGGCCGCCAGTGCCAGAGGCACCCGAGCGCTGCCCCTTCAGCAGGCGGGCTGCCCAAGCCCACGTTCAAAGTTCACCTCTATGCCAGAGATTTTTAACACTCAGAGCCAGCGGTGGTTTTGGAATAACCTTGGTTGTTAACAATAGTGGTTTTGTCTTGCAGAAAACTCTGTGACTGGTTTGTTTCTCCACAGGGAAACATGGCAACTTCTCTTGACTTTTCTGCTGATTTGAAAAATTTGTCCACCATTTATCATATTTTCTTTCAGAGAGGTTGAAACATTGAAACATTTTACTGTATCTTTGGATTGTTTTCTTAAATATGGATGTTTATTCTTAAAAATTGATGATCTCAAAACCAAACTATCACAGAGACATTTTTCAAAATTCAAAACGTTGCATGTCCTAGTTGGACACATCCTGGGCTGCATTATGAGAAGCACAGCCAGCAGAAGGGCTCTTTTCTCTCTTTTTTCCATTTGTAAGACTGTCAGAAGTACTGTGTTTATTTTGGGGCACTCCGGGACAAGGAAGGAAGACAGTGACACACTGGTGTGACTCCAGTGAAAGCCACCAGACTGGTGAAGGGGCTGGAGCACATGGCACAGAACAGGCTGACAGAACAGGATCCCTTTGGCCTCAGAAAGGAAGGGCTGAAGGGAGCTAAAATTGCAATCTATGACAGTGTTCTTGGAAGACACAGAGAAGGTAAAGCCAGATTCTTTGAGATAGTTAGAAGGAGCCGAAAAGGAACAGGCACAAGCATGGAGAATTCCAGTTATTTTACTGTGAGAATGGTCAAATACTGGAAAAGGTTACCCAGACAGGCTGTAATCTCTTCAGCCATGGAAACATTCAGGAGTCAACCGGTCGTGTCCCTAAGTAACCAGGTCTAATTAGATCTGGTTTGAATACAGGTTTGGATTAGGTGGCTTTTGGAGGTCATGTACTTTCACATGCTTCTTTGGGTTGAAAATAATAATTCCTGTGTTTTGTCTTCAATGAGGGAGCAGGAGCTGATATCAGAAATGAATGTTGTCAAGATTCTTGGCAGCATCATTGACAGAAAGACTTGTGTTTGTGTCTCTGATTTCCAGTGTTGTTTCATATGTTTATAAACTTGACCTAGTGTCTGCATGGTAAAAGATTTCACAAATGTCTTTGGAAAGGTCTAGCAACACTTACTCAGGAAGGAGACAAAAGGTGTTTGTGTTCTAGTTTTGAGGGTTGTCAAGGTGTCCAGACGTTGCCACACTGTGCTCAGCAAAAGCATTTTGTCTTTAATGCTGAAGTCTGTCACACTGTCAATGGGACAAAGAGTTCAAAAGGAATTAGTAATAATGTGGCACTGAACAGAAGATGCCTGTTTACCAGGATTCATTTTGGTGGGGACACAAAAACTACACTTCTTGTAAAACTTTGAGCTCAGTTTTCAGTACAGTTGCAGTCTAGCCATACAACTGTAGTAAGAATGAAAACTGCTGCTATGTTGGCATCACAGAGTAATTAAGCTCAGAAGAGAGCTGAGGAGTTCACCCCCTACTCAGATAAGCTCTGCTTAGATCAGTTTGTTCAGTCTTGTGCACTGGAGTTTTGAGTAGCTCCAAAGATGCTCTTCAGGCAACTTATTCATGTATTTGGCCATTCTGCTGGATAAAAAGTTCTAGTCAAAATTCCTTGTATTTCAGTTTGTGTCTGTTACCTCTTGTCATCTCACCATGGACTCCATCACATACCCCATCAGTAACCAACTTACTCCTTTGTTGTTATGGTAGGTGCAATAGTAGTCACCACTCCGAGCTTTGTGGACATCCTTGTTCTACATGATCTGTCAGACAAAAACTTGTCGTTTTCTGTATTTTTGAAGTGGTATTTTCTGAACATTTGGACAACCAGCTGTTAGGTTATTAGGTGGGAGAAGAAGCCTTTGTGTATCCTGGTAAAAACTGACTTGGGAATCAGTAAGACGTGAGCCATTGCTTTACAGAACATTTTAAGGAGAAAATTTGAATTTAAGGGTTGTTACTTAGGACTTGTCTAAACAACTTAGAGAAACATGTCAAGGATGCCATCCATATCACTTGAAATATGATGCACAATTGCTGGAGTGCTAAAAAGAAGAGACAGAAAACTTCAGATCCGCTGCTCATCAAAAATGTACAAAAGTGCATTTACTTAGCCTTGTCAGATTCATAGGAACTTTCCTCTTACCAAGCTAAGTAGTTATCTCTGGTTTTTATTTCTTTTCCCCCCCTTTTTTCCCTAAGTTCTTCAATTCTAAGCTTATAAAGCTGTAAACCTCAGCTCTTGCATACTTGTGAAATAACACTCATGTAATACAGTTGATCAATTATGTTTCATGTTCAATTATTGCTTTGGAGGCTGTGGACTCCTGGGTTGACTTGGAGGCAGTTGAACTTTATGCTTCCCGAAATGTTTTCCAGTATCATTTCTCTCTTTTGTAGTAAGTGATGGATTGGAGCTGAGGCCAAAGTACAATGGAATTCTTCACTGTATGAGCACAGTCTGGAAGCATGAGGGGCTTCGAGGCTTGTACCAAGGGGTAACTCCAAACATGGTGGGAGCAGGGGCCTCCTGGGGACTTTACTTCTTCTTGTAAGTAGAACTGTAAAATGTGTCTCTCACTGCCTGCACAATGTAGTGTTCAGATATACATTGCATCTTCTTTGTGAGGTATAAAAATGTGCTAAGGGACTTACAAACTTGTCATTCTCTTAGTTAGTCCAGGTTTGTTAATGTTTATTATGGTTTGCTGTTTTAGAATTTAAGCAATTTGAGTCAGAGAGTTGTTCCTTTGTCTGGTACAGTGCATTCCCTTGCTGCTGTGAAAATACTAAGGAGTTTGAGAGGTGGTGATACTATTCAGAAAGAATTCTCTAAAAGTGCCAATACACTGTCTTAAACCCCATGAAAAACAAGAATCTAAATTGATTTCTTGAAAATAAAGAGCGTGAAGTTTTCTACTAAAACTAAATGTTTGATTGTTTTTAATCATTTTAGTGACAGTTTTTTCATTGTTTTTGTCAGTTCATGGGCTTTGCTTTTAAAGCCCATTTTAAAATATTCTACTTTATTAACTCTGTTAGTACTTATCCCTGTTAATTCAAACATTTTAGGGACTCTGGGGACTTTACAGTTAGCTGGTATGCCTATGCAAAGCTCACTTGTCAGTTGTCTAAACTCTATTATTGTTGTACTTTGTTGTATTGTACTTTGTTGTATTGCTGTTGTATTGTTGTACTCCTTAAGCTTTGCTGTAGATTGCTATTGACATTTCATCTTCTGTTGACAATTCCTTAATTCACAAAGATTGCAAACTGGATCAAGAGAAGAATGCTCAGTGTATTTCTGAGCTAGAGGGTCAATACCTAGCACTGTGGGTCCCACTAAAATTCTTTTAAAAGTTAATTCTGGATATCTGATCATTTTCAAGATGCAGTCCCATTGATACTGACAGTTTAATTTTACAATTTAAATATATATTACCATAGTTCACTTTAAAGAGCTGACTGCTCAGAGACAATTAATCAATTAAATAACAGTAGTTTGGATGCCTTTTCTTCAAAGGCTGTATACCACCATGATCTTAAGTCAGGTATGTCATTCTGGATTGGGTTTTTTGTGATGTAGGTCTGTGTTCACCTTCACTAAACTATGTTGTACATTTTCCAGTTACAATGCCATCAAAGCTTACAAGAAGGAAGGGAAGATGGAAAGTCTCAGTGCGAGCGAACACCTAGTGTCGGCTGCAGAGGCTGGTGAGGTTAAATGCAAAAATTAATGTTCACTTGTAGCCTTTCCATATGCTGTTACCTGCCTTTCTGTGTCAATGCAGCTTTTTCTTACAGATGGCAAGGGTAAGTGTTCCAGCCCAGCTGCAATAGTTGGTTGTCTGTAAATAAAACAAAGATGTCTAGCACAAATAGGTGGGTGACTGTGGTCCTTCAGTTTTGTGCAGAATTAGCAGTTGTCAAAATGTCTTTTGTCCTAGTTTTCATTCTGTATAGGCACTTTACGTATTTAGTACTGTATTGGGTCCCAAAATGTAACTGTAGAAATCTGCTGCTATCAGATTGTTAACTTGTTAAATATTTAACACCTGGACCTGGAAAGGAGGTAGCCTGTTGAATCATGGAATGGTTTGGGTTGGAAGGGACCTTAAAAATAATCTAGTTCCAACCCCCTGTCTTTGGCTGGGACACCTCCCACTAGACCAGGTTGCTCAAAGCCCCATCCAGCCTGGTCTTGAACACTTCCAGAGGTGGAGCATCCCCAGCATTTCTGGGCAACCTATTCCAGTGCCTCACCACTGTCACAGTAAAGAATTTCTGCCTTGTATCGAATCTAAACCTACTCTCTTTCAGTTTGAATCATTCCCCCTTGTCCTGTCACTACATGCTGTACAGGCAATTTGGAAAACTTCATTAGGCTTTTGAAACATTCATTTAAAGTTGAAATGTAAAGCATATTGTTTGAATGAAATGTCATAATGGATTCTGTCACAATGGTATTTTTAATAACTTATAAAGCTATAAGAGGTTCTTGCTATTAACCTGTCAAAATTATTAAGCAAATCTCACATCACTGAGATGTCCATTAAATTTTGAATTATTGTATATTGAAGAATAACTTGGATAATCAGTGGTACATTAAGAAACTGCATTTACTGTCTACTTCAGATTATGCTACTAACTGTGGAAAGGTGAAGCAAAAAAGGGACTGTACTAGGAATATGCAAAAATACTTGTGCCCTGCAAAAAAGTACCACAGCAGGAGTGAATTGGACTGGACTGTGAGCTTTGGAGGGAGAGGGAGGGAGCAATGGAGGGCATAAACTTCACCTGTTTTGAACAGTATAAGTACTCTGGTAGGAGAAGTAGTTTTGTCATTGTAGAAGCCTGTGTTATATTGGACTGAACAGACTGGGACATTCTGTGGAGTTGGCATAACAATGGGAGTAACTTCTGTGTGTTCTCAGGAGCCATGACCCTGTGCATTACAAACCCAATATGGGTAACCAAGACTCGACTTGTGCTGCAGTATAATGCTGGTGTGGATCCATCCAAGCGGCAGTACAGAGGAATGTTTGATGCTCTCATAAAGATATACAAGACAGAAGGCATCCGTGGCTTATATAAGGTAATCACATTTCAGAAAAATTCCATGATTACCTGGCACCACCCAGTAGCATGGTGAGACTTCTAAATATTTGTCTAAAAAAAAAAAATTTAATAGCTCACTTTCATTCTGTGAGTCTTCCCCACTGAAGAACTGCAGCAAAAAGGCTTAGTCAGAAGAAAAACCATTATACTGGTGATAAACTGCTTTGTAATTTTTTTGAATCTTCTTATAATTAGAATTTGGATAAGCAGGGCAGCAACTATGTTGCTAGCAGTACTTCCTTGCATTTTATCCCTTATCTCTGTATCTCTAACCTCTTCTGGAAGATAACATGACTAAAGTACTTGCTAATTTTTTCTTCCACAATGCATGGTTTCACAACTGCTTATTTGCCCTCTGGTTATTGATGTCTGTAATCTGTCAGCTCTAGATACATTAAATTTGCAGACTTCTAAATAGGGCCTGCATATGTGTGGGGTTTTTGTTCCCTTTAATTTAGGGAAACAGATGGCAACAAGATTTGGACTTTTTGCCTCCTCCTCTTTTCAGGTCATGACATCAAGATGCATTCATCAGTGCCTGGAAGTTGTGAAGAAACCTATTTTAGTTCAGGCTGGCTCTTCTCCTGCAAGTCATGCTGCAGAATCATAGAATGGCTTGGGTTGGAAGGGATCTTAAAGATATTCTAGTTCCAACACCCCTGTGATGGGCAGGTGTACCTTCCACTAGCCCAGGCTGCTCAGAGCCCATCCAGCCTGGCCCTGAACACTGCCAGGAATAGGGAACAAGACCACTTTCTCTTAGAAATTATCCTGACTTCTGAACATTAGCTTATTTTATTCTCAGTGAAAAATGTGATCCTTCCTATTTTGTAAGACTTGCGTGCTTCATGGCAACGATTGCCAAATTCTAACACCAGGAACAGGGCACCTTACTTATTCCTAAATTGAAATTGTCAGGTTTGCCTGCCTGGATGTCTGCTCTGTTCCATGTAGATAAGTTCTGATTTCTTGGATCTGTTAGGTTTTAAGATGTCCTTCCACCCTTCTTTTCAGATTATTCCTGCCAGTAGCATGTGTCGCCTTTGGCACTAGACACTTCTTTGTAGTGTTAATCTGCAAATGTGGGACTAAAGCAGCTACTTCCTTTGAAAGAGCAAATTACTTGCTTAAATCTGCAAAGAAGGTGACCTAAATAGGTCCTGAGTGACCTACATAAGTATGCACACTGTGCAACTTCCATTTGACGTCAGGACTCTCTCAACCTTGTCTGTACTGGGGAAAAAGGCACCTCTTCAGGTGGCTCTTGGACTTGTACATGCTTTAGCTTCCTCCATTTCAGTGTTTGGGGGAGCTTTTATTTTTCTTGCACTATTTGAAATTGTACAGCTAAAGCTTTGTTAATTGCTCTGAGTCAGGAGTTGTTGTACACACAATTGTCTTCTTTTTCCTCATAATCTTCATTTCAGATAGCATTCCTTGTAGCAGATAAGGGGATCTCAGGTAGTACCACCTTATAGTAAGTGAAGGGATCTCAAACAGAGCAACTGTCTCAGATAGAATTGGAAATAAAATCCGGAAGCAGTTTCTTTCTGTTTGAGATTTGTCTCCTTAGACAATAAAGAATGGTATTTCTGACCAAGCAATTCAATATTGCTCTTTACTGCACAGATGCTGTTACTGATCTGAGCAAATCCTTTCAGTCCTTTGAGGTACAAATAGGTTATGTCAGGCTACATCAATCTTTCTAGCAGGGATCAAAGCTGTCTTTATTAGCTCTGCTGAGTATTGATTGTTCATCAAACATAGTTTGTCTGAATCTGGGTTTCTCAGTAAGTTGTTCCTCTTGAACTTGGCCTGGTTCTGAAAAGGCAGGAGGAGTCCCCTTTGCTCCTTATCCCAGTCATCATCCAGTCAGTGATCTTCCACACCCTCCATCCACTGGGCTTTGTCTTTTGGCCCCCTGATGACAGAGCTGCTCTGCTGCACACCAGGCTGAATTAAAAAACAGCTTGGGGTTATGTACTTTGAACACACCCATGGATCTGCTGGATATTTGAGCTCTAAAAATTACCTTGCCATTAATGAATGCAACCATCTCCATTTTATGAGTGCTGTGTTGTTCTTTTCAAGCATAAGGTAGGAGTGCCCAAACAAGGTAAAATAGTTGTAAGATTGTAGGATTGGTGCTCTTAGGAAAACCTAAAATATCTCTGAGTTGTTGAGAAACTGTTAGATGTATATTCTAGAGTGACTGGCTACTAAGACATCAGTCAGGAATGCAACTAGCATCCTTCATGGCCTCTGTATTTCTGTATGTGCATTTTTTATTCTCTTTTATTGATGATATAGAAGCAGCAGTTGGAAATAGAGCAATGCTTAATAATCAAGAGTAAAATACACAGGAAATGTATAAAATTTAAGGAGATTAAAGTAAAATCCAGGTTCATCAAGACTGAGAATAATAATGTAGCATGCTGACAACAACAAAAGTCATAACATTAATGTGTGCTCGTTACCAAGTGAAATATATTTGGGCACTTCTGTGTTGGCATTTCACTTTTGGTAGGCAAGATGCTATGCTCTGAGGATAAAGTGCTTTTCCTGGTCCCTCAATGGCTAAGGCACTTAGCTCTCTTTATTTTGCATGCTTTGCTTCTGTTATTTTTCTTCTTGTAAATATGAAGCTTGTAAGCTTTCTATATCTTTGTACTTGTACATAGCAAAATCCATTGAGATTTGGCCATCTTGATTTTAATTTAAGTTGCAGGTTCTACAAAGACACATAAGCATAAGTGGCTTTCACATAAAAGATGGTAACATTTTTCACCATGAGGGAATCAAGATGATAATGGCAACTTCAGTGTCTTGTCTGTACAAGTTGTCAGAGCTGGGCACTCAGATGCTGCAGGTCTCTGACACACTGAGAGCCCAAATGAGGGCGGCACTGGAGAGATTACAAGAGGTATTTGCTGCATTCTTTTGAAACAGCAGAGGCTGTTCTGGCTTGAGTGCTGTCAAACACTTCAGGCAGTGATGTGAGTACCACATCACCAAATGAACCTTGTTCCCTTCTTTACTAAGAAGCACAGGTTTTCCAATGTGTATATTTGCTTGTGTTTCTTTTTATTGTTATGGGTAACCTTTGAAACACTGACCAACAGGACATTTTCTTCTTGTCTGGATTTTCAGCACTTAAAATACTTTAAGCCAACTTTAAAATATTTCTTTATTCCCACTGTCTGCTACTCAGAATTATATGCATTTAAATTTTTAATTATAGAATATAAATATAGAACTGTATTTAATTCCATCTATTGTTCTAATCCGTTGAAAGAGAATTCAAGCAAGACTTCTTTGAGGAACCATTCATCTTGTCATGTTTTCATTGGAAAAATCTTCTAAATATATATTTCAAATATTAAAGTAGAAAATAACAAGAAGTATGTGAAGTTATTATAAAATTTCTCTTTACAGTCATATTATGTATTAAAAAAAACCATTAAATTCTATCAAATTTTGTGGCAAGAAAGAATTTTGAATTCAAGTATTCTAAGAATAAGAAAACAGAATATGTTTCAAAAAGTTCCCCAGCCAAGATATTTCAGTGCTGCAAAGAAATCAGTTTTGCTTTGAAACATTTTTCCATCAGAGTACATTATTTTCTATGATCAATAAAGGTCTGGGTCAGCTCCTATTTTACTGAGGCACATTGGCTGACAGTTGCCTCACTCCCTTCTTGCATTTTTTAATATTGGCCCAACATTAAAAGTCCCTTAGCCCTTGGAAGCTCAGCACAAGACTTTAAGCCTGCTGGTATTTGTGTATGAAGTACAACCAGTAGATGCTTTAGGACTCAAGGGTGCAAGTTATCCAAACCTTCTGGCTTAAGTTTTAAGAGTTTAGCTCTCTTAAAGGTTGTTTAACATTCTTCTTTTGTTGGCAGGGAAAGTATTACCTCATTTTTCTATGATATAAATACATTGTTCTAATTCTTTCCAAGTGGAGAACAATTACTTCCACTGTCCTTTAGTTGTTTTACTGATTAATCACCAAGAAATGTTTGTGAAGATTTTCCCTGCTATCACTGTCCATAAGTTTCATACTGTTTTTGGTGGGTTTTTTTGCTGACCCGGATAATTTTTTCTTTGACATTTTTGTATAGGTTTTTTTTTCTTCTTCTGTTTTTATATTGCTTTTATTTTCTTCTCTGATCCAGGATTTCTGAAAACCAAAGGTGTCCTTTTCCCTCTGTTGGGGCCCTTTGGCTTCAATTTCACTTTGTGCTGACAAAATACAGATAAGTGGTTTAATTCCACTTGTTCTCATTTGGGGAAGGTTTTTTTCCTGGGACTTTCACTAGGCTTTAATGCATTTCATTAGTTTGTGATCACTGATGTTGAGTTCATGACCATTATTTCTTACTGTGAGAAGAAGAAATTCTAAAAAATCATTTCCTGAAAGACTGAAAAACTTTAGAAATCTGTATGTAGCATTTGGAAAGCTGATCCCTGAAGTGGTATTTTGTGTATTATCCGTGCAATTTTTATGCCTGCTGTAGCTTTAGTTGTTGGCGTTTTTCTGCAATTTAGGATTTTTTTTATTTTGTCTTGTTAACACTAATTCAGTGGACTCCTTCAGGGATCTCTTCTCCTTTTCACCTTCTCCAGGCTTTTAATCATATTCTGATTAAGTCAGACTAAGTCTTCAACATTTTGGGCTTGACTTTTAGTCTAACACAGACTTTGGCATCTGAACACATTTTTTAATTCCTTTTTCTTGCCTGAATGGATCATGGGAAATAAACTTTGGTTCTTTGAGTCCTTTTACCCACATTTTGAACACTTTACTCTGTTATAATTGTACCCTAATAGTTTGCAGCAAGCTTTTGAGTCCCTTTCTGGCCAAGATGAATAATCATCCATTTATTTGTGTTTTTCAATGCAAGTGACCAACTCTTCAAAAAGAATTAGTGCTTTTCAGAACCCCTGCAGCTGGCAGCTCATTTTAATGGAGCTGCCAGCTGCCGGGGGAACTCCTGTCTTCTCTTCTCCTGCTCCTAGGGGAACTCCTGTCTTCTCTTTCTTGGGGAGACAGTTCAGAAAGTACCTGTTTTCCCCCTTCATTTCAACTTTTTTGAACCTAAACGTTGATGTGTATTTTCATGTGTTTGTGTGTGTATGAAAGACAATGCTGGAGCAGCTCAGTCTCTTCTCCCACAGAGACATGTTATAGTAGTGGACATGGCAGTGTCAGGTTTATAGTTAGATTTGATAATCCTAAAGATCTTTTCCAACCAAAATGATTCTGTTATTCTATATAGGCACAAACATTTTTAGTCTAGAAATATATATATATATATCTCATAGACACACATTTTTGTAGAGACACACATGCAAACACATGCATATCTATTTCCCAGGCTCAATCACAATAATGTTTTGTATCTCTGCTCCTGGTGGCTCTTCTCTGAGTTGCCAGCATCTGTCATTGCTTTACCAGTCTCAGGTGGAACCAGACCCCTCAGTGCCAGTCTCTGGAAATGTGCACTGAGCTTGATTTGTGATCTTGCAGTCCTAATCTGTGTTACCAGCTTGTGCTCTGTGAGGTGGAGTCCCTGGGCCACTTGTTTTATCTCAGTGACTCAGGAGGTGACTTTAGGCTGTATGTCAGAAAAGTAGCATTTTTTGAGTGTTGGTGTGATGCCTGCCCTTAAGGATACTGAGTCAGACTGGAACTGCAGTGCAGGCACAGTCTGTACATTAAGGGAGGACAAATGTAGGGGTGTGAGCTGTGCTCTGTCAAGTTGTTTAGATTTTGTGCATTACCCTTTAACCTTGTTTTATCCTTTTTTTAGGGATTTGTGCCTGGTCTGTTCGGAACATCACATGGAGCACTTCAGTTCATGGCCTACGAGGATTTGAAAGAGAGATACAACAAGTATAGAAACAGAGTATCAGATACAAAACTGGTAGGATGCTTGAGAATAAAATTGTGTTGTGGCATGTAAATAATCAGAAGTAGATTCCATTTGTCAGGTTATACAGCAGCCAAATGTGCAAAGTATTGGTACATTAATTAAAGTGCAGAATATATAGAAGGAAATAATACTTTCTCACTTTTTAGGATAAGCAACTGGTTTTCACTGGTTTTGAAAACCAACTTCTTATTTTGGCAAGTGTTTTGAGAATTTTAGAGGAGGGAATGAGGGTTTTTTCTTACATTGTGGAACCAGAGGGAGTGGTATTAAACCCTGGAAAACTGTTTGGATGCAAGTTGGGCAAAGGTAGCTACTATTGGAAGAAGTGTTTCTCTTAATGGGAATGAGAAGGCACAGCACATGTTTTACAGTCAATTACTTGTAGCACTGCATGTAGTAAAAACTGACATTTCTTTTAATGTGTTGTATCATAAGAGGGAAAAATCTAGAGTATTGTTTGGTTGTACGTTTAAAAATCAAATAAGATTTTGGGAACTGGCTAATTTAAACTATACCTAAGGCAAGCCTGACAATTTTTGTTGCTTTCAGAACACTGTGGAATACATAATGATGGCAGCTGTATCCAAAATATTTGCTGTGGTAGCAACATATCCCTATCAAGTTGTGCGAGCTCGTCTTCAAGACCAGCATAACACATACTCTGGGGTGTTTGATGTGATCCGCAGGACCTGGAGGTAGGTGTGCAAAATTAAAAGCCTGCATGTTGCAGACTGAGTTTTACAGAATCAGAGCTACCTTTACTGGCTTCTTGCTGACTTGCAGAACCAGTACAGTTCAGAGCAATCAAAGTGTTAGTTGTACAAAGTCATGTTGTGCAAGATGCCACCAACAGCAGTAAGCTAAGGAGAGAGGAGGAGATGGGAGAGAGCCAATGCCCCCTGCAGGTTCCTGTTGTTTATTCTGTCTCCCTTCTCTCTTCTCCAGCAAATTTCACAGGCTTAACAATAACATTGTCATGGCTGGTTTGGGACACTAAATGAAGTCTCACTTGAACTGCTTTGGCTTATCACATAGGACAGGAGCATTGTGCTGCTGGGAGTTGTGGCTAATCCAAATTCCTGGCAAGGTGAAGTGAGCTAGCCAGAGCTGATTATACTGATGTCCCTGGTTACCCTGGGGCCTGACTGCACTTGTTGTCTGGTCCCACCTTCCTGTAGGACCTTTAGAGACCTGTGACCTCACACCTATTCATATCTTCTCACAAACCTTCCCTGAGCTGCACAGTGCAGGGGAGAGTTTGCACACAGACCTGTGTGTTTACCAAGGGTGGCCACCTCTGCATGTGCATCCTTGGCTTTGGGCAGTGCTTCTGGGTTGGGCCATATTGCTGCAGAGGTGGGAATGGGCTCCTGGCTGTGAAGAGGGGCCAGCTCAGTAAGTGCAGTAAGTGCCAGCTCTGTTGTTCCAGGAGCACCCCTGGTTCAGAGACTGTGCAACCATTTCAACTGGAGGCAATTCAGAGCAAAAGTAGCTCTGATGTGTCAGTGCTGAGCCCTTCCGTGCTGCAGGCTGCAGGAAGGCTTTTTAGTTCTGGTCAAGTGTAGTGCAGCCATTCTGGAGCCACTGCTGAGCTCATGATGAAACAAATGGGACTTAAGGAGGGTTGTGTAAACCACACCCAAGCATTTCTTTGGATCTCTGTTTGCTCCTCCTTCCAGGTGTTCTATGCCTATGAGGTCTGCACCTAAAGAGCTGAGATTTAATGTCTCTAAAACTTTTTAACAGCCCTAGCATGACACACTTATTCAAATTGGGTGAAATTAGGTTCTTATTTATTGGCCAGTAGAATCAAAATTCTGGAAGGGGTGCTTAAAATCTCAAAAAATGAATGGTGACTTTTCTTAGTTGTTTACCCAGTTGTTGTAGCATGAAGAAAGATGGTAAATTGCCTTACTTAGACAATACCCACAAAAAACACTCAAAGCCTGGGCTAAATAACTGATCTACTTAATGCTATTATATGTTCAGAAGAAAAAACAATGGGTTAATACTTGATGCACTTAAGCACTGTCTGAAATTGTTATTTCTAACCTGAAGTACATCTCTCAATGGGAGTGTGAGAAATAAAATGCCAGGCTTTGTTTTATGTCTCATTTTTTTCTATTAAAAGACATTAATTAAAACCTTTTTTTTTTTTGTCTTTAAAGGAAAGAAGGTGTTCATGGATTTTACAAAGGAATTATACCTAATGTAATCAGAGTGACTCCTGCCTGCTGTATTACCTTTGTAGTTTATGAAAATGTGTCTGGCTTTTTACTTGGTTTTAGGAAAGAAAATAATTAAGGTATGGACTTGTGTTCCTAGGAAGGAATCTATCCTTTATTTTTTATATTCATGATCTGGGAGAAATTTACTTCAGCAGTCTTCTTTGACACTGTGAATTGATCTGGTATTTTAAGGAAAGAATGTAGAGACAATAAACCCTGCCAACATCTCTCCTGTTGAACGTTCCTGCATTGCTGCCTTCCTCCCTGAATCAGCTGTGTCTGCTTGAAGCAGATGTCTGCAACCGTGAAATAAGAGTGCTGTGACTGGGTGAAGGCAGCTGCACAGCAATTCCATTCATCCTGGCCTGCCTGGAATAACTCACTAAGCAGTTTCAGCAAGTCTCAAGATAACAGTTGGTGCAATTCTGCTCCTGCACAAGTGGAAAACTTCATATGAAAGCAACCCTGGGGGCTGTCAAAACTTTCTTGAATATCTGAGTCTCATTAAAACAAGGAATGTCATCTGAATCCACCTCTGTGTTATTCATCAGATTTTAGGATGTGGAATGCTCCAGACTCCATTGTTCATCCAACACAAAAATGTGTGTCTCAGTGGGGTGCAGTTTGGAAACAAATTGTTTTTTTAAAACAGCTGTCCATTCTTGGGTTTGAATAATTGCAAGTCTGATGAAGCTCAGTTCTTGTCTCATAGCAGGCCAGGTTTGCACTGTGGTTTTTGACTTGGTTTTAGCAGCAGACCAACATGCTGAAAGTGCATACGTTGCTGGCAGCTTAATTCATTTTCTCTCTTTCATTCTCTCTCCATCTCTCTCTGTGCCAGTCTGTCTCCATTAATGATAGAGCTGACCACATATTACTAAGAAATGCATATTTTAAAGTAGGCTTACATTTTAAAGATGAGGATTTTTTTTCTAGTAATCCCATAGTGATGCAGTGTTCAAGCCAGTGTAGCAAAAAATAGGACCACACTTACTTTCAGTAATATTCTCTGGGAAAAAAAAATGTTTCTAGTCTCAAAAAATCCTGTGCACAGGACTTTATTTAAAAAAACAGAACAATAGGTTAATGTCTTCTGATTTGGTTTAAGGAAAAGATTGTTGATATATTGATTGCTAATTTACTGATAAATTAAATTATAGTACATATCAGTAAATTTTTATAATAGTTACGGGTTTTTTTCCCACACCAATAATTGCCATCAAGGATATGTACTGTTTAGAGTTCTGGGTTTGGTGGTTTTGGGTCTTATTTATTTAATAAAGACATTACTGACCCTAACATCTGCCTCCTGCTGTTGGTAAGAAGATATTAAGTATCTAGTAAGTATCATTTAACTAGGAAATAAGTTAGCAAAGGCTATCAACAGGGGAAAATCATCAGTTTCATAGGGAGCAGAGTAATCACTTAGAGAAGTTTCCTGTTTACCAGGCTAACCTAAAGCAGAAAGAACAATTTTTAATAAAAATTTAACAGATTAGGGACTTGGTTTAAATTTTAAGTTAAAAGCTGGAAAGCTACAGAAACTACTCAGTATTTTGAGTCTTCATTTCAGTAATCCACTCTCTTGTTTTTGTAGATACTGTTGCCAAATACCACATTTTGTGTGTAACTAAACTTATTCATAATTTACACTTTCTCTTCCACAATCCCATCCCCTCTACTGATAGAGTTGATAATCTCATTGGAAAGAATAATCTCATCTGGGGCCAGCATGGCTGGCTTTGGTTTTTATTACGGAAGGTTCTGTGTGTATTTAGCTGAAGATAAATTTACTGGAAGTTTTACTGGCAGAAGCTTCTGCCTTTGGAGGGTGCTTACTGGGGTTTGTGTGTTTTGTGGTACACAGAATGAATTTAATGGAACACTGAGTTAACTCTACCACCCAGGATCCAAAATCTATTATGAAGACATATGAAAACATGATAAAAGAGGAAAAGCTGTGCATGTACTAGCCTGGATTAGTGTGCTCTGGGCCAGAACAGCTTACCCATGCTTCAGGATAAATGCAGGGGCAGGCTGTGAGCATGTGCACAATCACTCACTGTGTGTTAGCTGACGTTCTCTAAGTTCACACCACAGCCCAGCTCATAGTAACTTGTTTGTGTTCAGGTACCTTAAAACCATCCTCCAAGCCAGTGAAAACATTGCAGTTCTTCAGAGACAAAATACCAGCTGTGTAACTTGCTGGCTTGCAGCAAATCTCACTCACCATCTTGCAGTTGGGCGAGCCCAAGTGCTCCCCTCACTGCAGGTGTCCTCCCCAGTATCTGCAACAACAGCTACAGGCAAGGGCTGCCCATCCTGGGGCAAATCTTACAGCTTGTTCATAAAAGAAAATGAGATTTAATTCTAAATAGCTGAAATAAATTCATTATCTCAGATTTAATGGGTTTTTTTCCTTTTAATTTCTGGGAAGAGTGGAGATTTTTGCATGTTGTACATGCTTTTCATGAGTTTTTTTATCTTGTTAATGTAAAATTGGTTTTGTAATACAAATATGATTGTTGTTTCTCTTTAGAATATGTAAAAATTTAAAAAATGTTTGAATATGCCACTTGCAGCATTTGAAAGAAAATACTTAAAACACTGAAGCTTATGGTGTGTTGGCATGATCAGTGTTGTCACTTGTCAAACAGCTGTGACATCATTGTTTCACTTTACCAGTTCAGTTTTGGAAAGCCTAGGCATTTCAACCTGTCTTATGTCTGTATCTTCTAAACAGTTTAATACATCTAGCTTTTAACTAACACCAAAGTGATTCTGTATAACTGAAAGGCTAAATCCAGGAGAATTATTTTATTGGAGCAATGAAATTAAGTGTTGTAGCTGTAAATTTATTTAGTGTCTGCATCTTAGTAGTGGAGACAAAATAGATATTACACTGAAATCCAGTCTATCAAGAAGCAAGAGAGGGAAGAAGAGCTTAGATAGTCTGGTTTTGCTCAGTTATTCATAATGAGGTATTTAACACTTACCACATTGTCTGGGTCACAGTTAATTCACCAGGAGTTCATTGAGACAAGACTGTAACAGCAGAGCATCCTATTCTGCAGTCAGGTTTACAGAAGTGCATTTTATGTATGTTTTCTGAAGGCTAAAGCCAACACCTGGTTTTACTTTCTTTGAACTTTATCTATAAAGCCTTCTAAAGAAATCGTGTATCACAACACCATGTAAAATACCTTAAACAGATTAATGTTCAATAAAATAACCCGGATTTCTTTTTTGTAAAAGGTCTTATTTATTTGATACAAAAAGTTATGGTTAATTCTAAAAACAGTGGTGGTATAACATCAAAAAAGAAATTTAAAATGTTAATGAACTTGGTTTTGATATTTGTATTCTAAAATGATTATTATAAAAAGCCTCTGCTGTGTACAAAACAAGACAAAGGCTACAGATGCAAGGCTTTGGTGCCTTTCAGTCCAGTACTTGCGTCCAACTCTATTGAAATAAATTCTGAAAAAAATAGTACAAAATTTAAAAAAAAAAAAAAAAGGTATTATAAAAAGAGAGGGAAGTTATTTTGGCAGTTCTTCAATGATGATTCGGGAGACTGAATTCCATCCAGTAGAAGCATCTCCCCGTGGATAATCTGAGCACGTCCCCACCCAGATGGCAATATCCACCAAGCCAGCGTTGATCCCTTCACACAGACCTTCCACTGGTTAAAGACAAAAGTCAGGTTACCTCACCAGACACAATCCCTTTGTATTTCACAACTGAAGGTGGAATCAAGTGCATAAGAACAGCAGCTTGTTGCAAGCTTGTGCTATTTAGTTAAATGTGAAAAAGTTTTAGAATTTTAAAACAATTTCAGCAATAAAAACTCTAATGTAGATATGTGGCAACATCAGTTAAAGGCATGCAGTGCCTGTCTGTTTTGCTCTTTGACACTCACTGCAGTACCTGAAGCAGATCACCATCCACAGGATGGCAAAATGGGAGGTATAGCTGCTGCTTTAAAACCCAAATTTACACACTGGGAGCTGGAATATGGCTTCATACCCTTCCAGACATCTTTCTAGCAGTGATGGGAGGGGATGGGGTTTACAGCCCAGCTCTGTAAAGGTGATTGCCACCCTGTAAGCTTTTCCAATGTCCGTCACTGCTTCTGCATGAAGTTGCACTCCTGATGCCTCACTAGCACCACTAGATGGAGGTGGGGTAATGAAGACAAGTCAGCTCTACCCCCTATGCTGAAAAAATCCTATAACAGCTCTAGACATTAGATTTCATGCAGTCATGCAGTACAGGGAGAAAAATGGAGAAAGGACACAGACATTACATTCCTTTTTCTTAGTATCACATCCTTTTATGTTGAATGAATTCACTAATTTGCCTCTGCTAAGCGAATGAATAATTGCTCCCAGATTGCTCCCCACTTTGGAGGTACTTTTGTGCCCCTCCTGAAATCAGAGTAGAAATTGCAGGAGGAAAGTCTCATTTTTGCACTGATAATGTGCAAATACCGGTATTTTAAGCCAGGATGACACTGTCTACTTGGCAGTAAGGCTGTTTCTCCATAGGTTAATACAGCACAGAATGTCTCTGTAGTCATGTTGTGGCAGAGATCAGTAGACCTGTCTGGACAGAAATCTCTTCCATTTCTAAATCTCAGGATATAGTACCACAAAAAGTACCACAGCAAGAAAGCACCATTTAATAAATAATTATAATACTGTCACTTATCAATAGCCAGCTCTGAGACAGCAGAGTAAGAGAACAAGTGTGAGTTGGCCACTCTCTGTGTTTGCTGCTCCCTCCTTCTGCTCCATCTCTGCTCTCCCGGCATACATACCTGAGGAAGTTCTGTGTATGTTAATGGTAGAGTTCAGCTCTGGGCTTCCTTGATCTAAGTATATGATGGCTTCGATGGGCAGTGGGCCGGCACACTCTGCCCCGTTGAAGGTGAAGTACCAGCGCTGGCAGCAGGCGCTCCTGCACTTGAGCCGCAGCGAGCCGCTGAAGAGCACGCGCAGGGCGCTGTTGGAGCGCATCTTGGTAAACGTGCATTCCTGACAGGAGACAAAGGTGCTTTGGCACAAACCTCTGGGTCTGAGCCCATTTATTTCCTATATATTTATATTTAGGACACTGATTTAGGAATGTATTTATTTCAAAATGTTTTGGCTATTCTCTTTAGGTCCCTCTGGGGGGAAAAAAAAATTACAGCCTGGGAAATCCCTTGTGGTGCAAAGATGCAAATCAGAACAGCACCTCATAGATGGTAAAGGAGAAATGGATTATGGAAATTCTTAACTTTATTTAGACAATACCTGCTGTTAAATTGCTAGCCTAGTCACCTTCTGGGATTTATGTAAAAGGATATAAGCTCTCTGAAAGCTGCACTCAAGCCACAGGATCACACAATCATAAGGGTTGGAAGGGACCTCTGAAGATTACTAGTCCAACCCCCAAGTCCTTTCACAACAAGACAGCACAGTTTCTGTCTCTGCTAACAGAAATCGTGGACTTAACGATTATCACAAGACTTCTGAGCAGTTTATACCCAATAAAAGCTCCACAGCTGAAAAATACATACTTTCAGGTTTTTAAGTGGTTGTTAACCTGTCTTCAAAATGCTTGATATCATAGGGGGAAAAAAAAGACAAAAAAAAAGACCAAAAAAAAAAGAAAAAAAAAAGACAAAAAAAAAGACCAAAAGAGACCAAAAAAGAAAAAAAAGACAAAAGACAAAAAAAGAGGGAAAAAAAATGAAAAAAGAAAAAAAAAAAAAGAAAAAAGCTAGGGACCGTTCTGCAAGTACAAGGCAGGCAGTAAGAAAAGTCTACTGAAAAAGTTGATTCTCTCTCTAGCCACAGCACAGCAGTTAAACTGCTACAATCACTCTGGGCTTTGCTTCATAGCTGGGATTGAGCAGGGATTTTTTCTAAAAGTTTTACACCCAGGGCAGCAGTGAGGACAGACTGTTTGTGTCAGTCTGGGTGACACTGGCAACTCTGCTCCTGAGCAATGCTGATCCTTTGCAGTAGCATCCTGCAACTGCAACTGAGTTTCAGTGAGTAACCACTATGAAGCAAATGTTATAAAGATGGGTACAAATAACCGATTAAAGATGTTCATCCCTTCTTAGCATTGAAATGGTGAAAACCTTGCCCTGTTTTGGGCAAGCTAGAGGTACTTTTTTGGTACTGTGACTTTCAGCCTTACAGTTACAGATCTGGTCTACTGAACGTACTCTTACACCAGCTACAAAATTCTTCCGAAACCCTATTCCAGGAATGCAAGAGGCACAGAGCTGAAGCACAGCTGAGAGCAATCCAAAGTAGCAAGGCCTTTGAGAAGTTCCCCCTTGCATGCAGAAAAGCAGAAAATCTGTGAGGCCGGTGCTGTGTTAGCCCGCGGGGCAGCGCCGCTTACCGCGATCTTGCCCAGGTCGATGCCGTAGTTGAGCGCGCTCCACGAGCACTGCTTGAAGTTGGGCGTCCAGGACTCCTCGATGCTCTCGCGCATGCACTCGCCCTTCTCCCCCTTCAGCCCGTCCCTTCCCGGAATCCCAGGTGTCCCAGGGATCCCATTGGCTCCCGGGTTTCCATCCCGTCCAGGAACGCCGCTGGGGCCTTGCAAGCACATGCCATTGTACTGGAAGAGAGAACAGATCTTGCTGCTTCCACCCCTCCATTCCGAGGCTAACCAAGTCAAACACAAGTGAATAACAACAAAGCGCACACCCCCTGCTGTGCCACAATGGGCTATTTCTGCATCTCCCAGAAAACGGTTCCACTGAAGTAAAAAAAAAAGGAAGAATGAGCAGTGCCAGCAGAATTTGCTGTAAAATAAGATGCTTTTTTAAATTAAAAGTTGCATAAATCCTAGCATTAAAAAATTGCCTAGTCCAAGAATTAAAACCTGTTGGAAAACCTCACAAGAGTGAAAACAGAAACAAAAAAAGAAGTCACATGTTAATAATTACTTTCTCCTAACCCACCATCACTTGTATAACTGTCTATGCTAATGCATATTCAGTATTATTTTTCCTTTTTTTTTTTTTTTAAGAAAATTTTCCATTTCATAGAGCAAAGGGTAATGCCACTTTTCTTCTCTCACTGCTCCTCTGGTGAGGAGGTGACAACTACATGGTGATAATCAAGCCCCACAATTCAGTCTCCAATATGCACACAAATGGATGGTGATATGGATGTGGGAAGCTGCATCCTGGAATAAAGCTGAACTCAGGAAGCTGTTTGTAACAGTGGGAAAGCAGACATGGGAGGAGGGCACACTCACATCCTTCCTAACATCACAGCATTAGGAAAGGTCAAATGTTGCTCTCCCAAACTTCATGTTAACACACATCACCTTCCCACTTTCTGCCCACCTTGGAGAGTAGGTTTGTGAAGCCCAGAGCTCCCTCCCTCAGCAGCCTGAGGGCTGGGATGTGGGAGGAGCACTGGGCATGGGAATGGTGAGCAGAAACCTGCAGGGGCTGGTCAGGGCTTTTACTTCATGTGCTCTGTCCTATCTGGTGACTGACTGCTTCCTCCAGTCTTCATCCCAAATCCTCACAGATTCTGTGAGGATTCTGCCCTTCCACTTTCTCACATTTATTTGTCTTCATCTAGTTTAAACCACTTAATGCCTATCTGTTTCAAAAAGAAACAGTGCTGCAGCTATTCCCCCTCATGCCAGCCATGCCCCTGTCTGCACTGCAGGAGCTGTAAACTACAGCCTCTGCCCTCTTTCCTTTGTCAGATTGGTGAATTTTCTTCTCTGAGGCTGTGCCTTTTCACAGGTTCTGGTGCAAAACCAGCAGAGCCATCACAGGTTTAGCTGGAGCCACAACAAAAGTAAAATCAGTGACTACATGGAGAGGTCTAGTAAGAAGTTAGATGAGGGTTTGACTAATGGTTGCTAGCTTTCTTACTACCTTTACCAAAGAAAACCCTGCTGGCTAAAGGCAGTGGAAATATTGGAATATTTTCACAAAGAAAACCATGTTTCAGAAAAGTTAGCTGAGCGAGGGCTGGTTGGCAAAGCACCAACCCAGGAGAACAATGCAAGGACATTTCTATTTCACACAGCAACAGTTATCTGGTTTTGCTCTTGCTTTCCCACTGGACTCCATTTGTAATGGTGACTGGCTCTGGCTTTCGCATGTGGTTCCTCACCACAGAAATCCTGCATGTGGAAATAGGCAAGAGCTGGGTCAGGCCAAAGCTGTGGCCTATTGCCCCCATCCCCAGAGACACCAGGAAGGGCTGGCCTGTCC